ATGTTTAGAAAGTTATTTACAACGTATGGACCTCTTTGGCAACATGTTCTACAGGAAGAACTGCTTCATGGTAACAGTTTGTGGGGGCCGGGTGTGGAGGTTCATGCCTTAATTCCAGCACTCTGGGAGGCTAAGACAGGAGGATCACATGAGGTTGGGAGTTTGAGACCAGCCTGGCCAACATGGTGAAATCCCATCTCTCCCAAAAACACAAAAATTAGCCAGGCATGGTGACGGGCACCTGTAGTCCCAGCTACTCGGGAGGCTGAGGCAGGAGAATCGCTTGAGCCCAGGAAGCAGAGGTTGCAGTGAACCAAGATCACGCCACTGCACTCCAGCCTGGGTGACAGAGCGAGACCCAGTCTCAAAAAACAAAAACAAAAACAGTTCGTGGGAGAAAATCAAGAGTCTGTCCTTAAACTCACTGGTTTTCCTTGGCTAATATTCTGGCTTCTCTTTTAAAATAGCCAAAGGTTTCAACCAGTCTAGCTGTTGCCACCTTCTTATTAAACTTTAATAAGCTAAGCTTTTTAAGCCACATAAAAATTTCATCAAGCATTTGTCAACCTTAGGGAAAACGGAAGGAGGAAAAAAGGTCAGAACATCACTTTCCACCACAGTAGCATCTGGAGAGAGATGCTTTGGAAGGATCCTGCATGCAGTCAGCCGCAAAATAAATGCTAGGAAACAAGCTCGCTGTTTGTGGCCTGCACCAGATGGCGATTACGTTTACTCCTTCATCACCCGCAGGCCCCACACTGGGTGCTAATTAAAGCACTATCTTCCAATAGCAGGCTCCTGGGACAACTGTGAGCCTTCGTTCCAGTGTCCTCGGGTGTGCTGCATGCAGCCCGCTGCTACAGGCTTGCCTGTCAAGAACACCACTTCAGAGCAGCTCCTTATCACTTTACTTTCAGTGTTTCATATGTCAACATATTTTAAAAACAAATCTTTAGTTTTCTTTTTTTTTTTAAACTATTACATGTTATAGGAGGGAAAAGGAGGTGGGCTGTCTGGGGTCCTCAAGACATGAGAAACCGGTGGTGGGTTCCAAGCTTCCTTACTTCCCCCATAGATCCCTGACAGTGTGCTGCAGAAGCCTCCAACCTGGAACTGCCAACAGGACCAGAGCACCCCCACCACCCCGCCCCAGAAAAAGCCAAGAAAAGCCCAACTCCTCTAGCCAAAGTACCAGGAGAAGAACGGCCTAACATCAGAAAACACCTGGGTAATGCTCATTCTACTCCAGCCAGGCGCCCAAGGAAAAATCACCATCCCCCTCCCGCCCTGGTCTCACAGAGCCCGGTGGGAACAGGCTCTCCCAGCCCGCTCCTCAGGAAGGAAACTGTGCACACTGGTCTAATTAACATCCAGAGAACACGCCACCCAACAGCAGAATATTTTTTCCAAGCACCAAAGAAACACTGACTAAGACAAACCACATCCTAGATCATAAAACCTCAAGAAACAGAAGCGGACTGAAATCATACAGTATTTCTCTGAGCATAATGGAATCACACTAGAAATCAGTAACACAAAGATAATAGTAAAATCTTGGCAGGGCACGGTGGCTCACACCTGTAATCCCAGCCCTCTGGAAGGCCGAGGTGGGAGGATCGCTTGAGGTCAGGAGTTCAAGATCAGCCTGGACAACACAGTGAAACCTCATCTCTACCAAAAAATACAAGTTAGCCAGACATGGTGGCATACGCCCATAATCCCGGCTACTCGGGAGGCAGAGGTAAGAGAATCACTTGAACCCGGGAGGTGGAGGTTGCATGGAGCTGAGATCATACCGCTGCACTCAGGAAAGGAGTAAACATAATGAAGGAGTAAATGTAATCGCCATCGGGTGCAGGCCACAAACAGCAAGCTTGTTTCCTAGCATTTATTTTTAGTAGAGACGGGGTTTCACCGTGTTAGCCAGGATGGTCTCGATCTCCTGACCTCGTGGCTTGCAGTCTGTATTTTGTTTTGTTCAACCTCTTAAGGTTTTCAAAAAGCAAAAATTTCTACTTTTTATGAAGTTTATTAATTTTTTCTTTTATGAATTGTGCTTTTGGTGTCAAGTCTAAAAACTCTTTACTTATCCCTACATATCCCAAAGATCTTCTACTATTTTTCCTGAAAGTTTTATACTATGTTTTACATTTAAGTCTGTGATTAGTTTATTTGAAGCCTTTGCTGTTTTCTAAAGTAAGAATTAAGGGCTATAAATTTCTCTCTCAACACTTCTTTAAGGCTGTGCCTCACATATTTTGATATGCTATATTTTCATTTTCATTCAGTCCTATGTATTTTTTCTTTTGAGATTTCTTTTCTCTATACATCACTGAGAAGCATATTGCTGAATTTCCAGTAGTTTAGAGATTTTACTTTTTTTTTCTCCTTTTGAGAGAGGGTCTCACTCTGTCGCCCAGGCTGGAGTGCAGGGCCACGATCACGGCTCACTGCAGCCTCTGCTTCCCAGGCTCAAGCAATTCTCGTGCTTCAGCCTCCTGAATGGATGGGGCTACAGGCGCACGGAACCTTGCCCAGCTAAGTTTTTGTGTTTTTAGTAGAGATGGGGTTTGCCATGTTGGCTAGGCTGGTCTTGAACTCCTGACCTCAAGTGATCCATCCACCTTGGCTTCCCAAAGTGCTGGTATTACAGGTGTGAGCCAATGCGCCCGGCCCGTGATTCCACCTATTTAACATTCTTGAAATGACAAAACTATAGAGATGAGAAACCGATGAGTGGTAGATTAGGGAAGGGGTTTGGTTATAAAAGAGCAGCACAAGGGACCCTTGTGACGGAACTGGTCTGTATCCTGACCGTGATGTTGGTCACGTGAATCTACACATGCGACAAAACTGCACAGACTAAAGACAGACACACAGACACACACACAAATAAGTACAAATTAAACTGGAGAGATGGGGAGATTTCAGTGTATTCAGGAAGATCAGTGGATTTTATCCATGCCAATTTCCAGGTTATGATACTGACCACAGTTATACAAGATGTTGTTACTCAGGGAGAAAATGAGTGAAGGGGATAAGAGACCTCTTTGTATTTGTATTATCTCTTACAAATGCAAGCAAATCTACATTTTCCTGAAATGCATATAACCTGAAACTAATCATGAAGGAACATAAGACATCAGATAAACTCAAATAGAAAATAATTGATCTGTACTCTTCAGAAACGTCAATGTCATAAAACCAAGTAAGAAGAGACAACTGAATGCAAAATCCAATGAGCTCCAATCAATCCAGGATTTTCTCTGCTATAAAGGTCATTATTGAGCCAGTTTTACAAAACCCAAGAAAGGTCTATCAATCAGATAACGTATTATATCAATGCTAATTTACTGATTTTGACAACCACACTATGGTTATGTAAGAGAATGTTGTTTTTAAAAATACATAACAAAGTATTTAAGGGTAACATGGCATCATAGCTCAAACTTACTCTCAAATAGTTTTGTTAAGGTATATATACAAAGGCTGAGGATGGTGTTTACACCCATAATCCCAACACTTAGGGAGGCCAAGGTGGGAGGATCGTTTGAGCCCGAGTTTGAGACCAGCCTGGGCAACACTGCAAGACCTGGTCTGTGCAAAAAATTAAAAAGTTAGCCAGGCATGGTGATGCATACCTTTAGTCCTAGCTACTCAGAAGGTTGAGGCTGGAGGATCGCTTGAGCCCAGGAGTTGGGGCTGCAGTGAGCCATGACTGCCACCACACTCCAGCCTGAGCGACAGGGCAAGGCCCTGTCTCTTAAAAAAAATTTTTTTTAATTAAAAAAGTATAGATACATAGAAAAGGAAATATAGTAAAACATTAACAGCTGTAGAATCTGAGTGAAGGGAATACCTGACACTTACCTTGCACATTTTTGTTAAGTCTAAAATTACAAATATAAAAATTATCAAAATAAAAAAAATTAAAAGTGCACAGGCAGAGCCTGGCACATAAAGCTTCAATAAACTACAGTGTTTGGGTATTTTATATCTACTTTCAGATGAAGAAAGAAGTTGAGATGCTAAATAAACTGTCCATCAGGGATGAGGGATCATGGGAAGCCAGCGGTACAGAAGGGATGTGAGCTGAGACCGGTTCCGTGCCAAAGTCTGTGCTGCTTCTACTAGAAAGAGGAAGGATAAAAATCCCAATGTCCCTGTCCCCACAGGGATTTGAATGTACTGTGTTAGGAGAAGATAGCGTTATACAAAAATTGGCTTCAAACCACTCTCCAAGCAAGTCACTTCCTAGTTTTCCACATGCAAAGTCTAGGCTAGGGACCTAACAGCCCGAACCTGGCTCCTAGGGTGGGTATTCTGTCCACAGCACATCAAACAAACTTAAGTTATCAACTGAGAGCCACCGTCTCCAGGCCCTCATACCAGGGAAGCACACTGCTTTTCCTAGGTTTATTCACTCAACCCAAATTCCCTGAGCGCCTCAGATGTGCTGTCAACGGAACTTCTAGGATGACTATCCAGAGAAATGTGTTCTGTTGGTCCTCCCCACCTCACCCGTACCAACCATGTCTGAGCTTAGATGACAGAGGTTTTTCACTGATTTCGTTTTCTAAATAGATAATACTTTCCCAGTTCAAAATTCACATGGGAAAGAATTTCACACAGGAAGGGGTAGTGTGAAGTCTCCCTAACCCCCCTCCTAGTTCCCATTTCCAGAAACATCCAAAGTTACTAGTTTAAAAATGCAACTATGTGATATTTCTCCAAATTAATAGAATTATCTAGATAATACTATGATATCAAGCTATCTACCTGAACAGACTATTCTAGGTGATCACAACAAATGTAGTATCCTTTAGGTTATTTTAAATATCCCTTAAATACTTGTGTAGACATTTTCAACATATTAAAATGACTGAGTAAGGTAACAACATTTTTTAAAAGAAAAAACATGTTAGTAAGATGCATGGACACGACAGATGTCTGTGAACTCTGGCTGGTAAGAACCAATCACTGTTGAGTACTGAGCTCACCTGGTTCCTGTCGCGTGCATTTGTGTACCTGATCTTCTGAATGAAGTAGAATATGAGCCATGCTGAAGAAATAATCATCAAAACAATAAAGGATATTGACACGAAGACTAGAGAGCCACGGCTGAAGTTCTTCGGTGGCATTCGAGTTCCAACAGCTATTGTCATTTGTACAGAGATGTTTTTCTCCAGATAACTCAAAATATCCTTACCCCTCAATTCTGTTATCATGACAGCAATAATATCTCCAGTGCCTGTAATATAAAATAAATATATAACTCAAGTGACATTTAAAATTTACAGAAACATCAAATATATAAACACATTACTTAGGTAACTACCGTAATATCTGGTAATGGAAAGGGCATGGGAACTCCACTTCTCAACTGAAATGAAGCTGCAGCTGGGTATGCTGGCACCAAGTGGGAACATGTAATTTGTTGTGTGGTACTTAAGACTTAAACAGACATAAGGCATAGAACGATTGCAGTGTTAAGAACCATATTAACTTGTCTGACAACTACATTTAAAAAAGAGTATTAAACCAACCAAATGTGACAACAGACAGCAATATAACATTATACAGCAACAGAAGTGTATCAACATCATGGTAGATTTACACTGTAAAATCTTTTCTATTTGAAAATGATCTTCAGAAAGTCTTAATTCCTTAAGAAATGGAGTAAAGTGCTGTTTTTATAGCATAAATTGGTACTTCTTGCACTAATCTAGGAACATTCATGGAGCACCCACTGTCTGTAGAACTAGTGCAAGGAACAAAAACAAGTACAGGATACCACGCTTTCTAATCTCACCGAGACACAGGATACACAGCTGGTAACAGAGCTACAAAGTCCCAAATGGTGGTACCATTTATTAGTGACCATCTGAAACTAACTTGGGTCTTACGTCCGGACTTGAGTGGAGCGAGGCTCCTTGCTAGTTTACCCCAGAACTCTTCTGGAAATTAAATGTTCCAGAGACAGGTCCAGGCTTCAACATTCTGGACTAGTTTGGCATCAAAATACCTCCAGCCTCTAACAGTTGTCCAGAAGTCTGCCCACAGTCACAGGCTATGTAAGTTAATTACGACGATGGTCTTAAGTTGCTTTATAGTTACCTAGACCTTTCCCCTATATAATTTCCAGAAGTAGTAACATTAGAGGAATTGAATATCTATTCCTATGGACAGCAGGAAACTGCTATCCCTTTCCTCCTCCACAAGGGAAATAACTTCCCAGTGTCTTTTAAGAAAACAGAGAAACTTCTATCAATCTACCAGCAATTGTCCTTTCACAAGCTGAAGCTGCCGGTGGCAACATATAACTTCTACATTTGCCTTCTCCACAGAGACTCTAAGAGGGACTCGGGGTCAGCAGAAGGGAAATAAATATTTTATTTTGGGAAAGATAAAATTATAACCACTTATTTGAATCTGAACAGCGTTTGTACATACAAATGTAAACCAACAAAACAAACAAGCAAAAGTCCCCAAAACTTGTCCTTTTCAATGCTTCTTCAATGAATAACACATTGAAATATTTTGGTTTTACATGTTTCATTTATCGTATTTAGCTAAAAGAACCACTGTGTTACATGCAGTCACAGAAGACTACATGCAACTGAAAAAGAAATTCAACAAGGCTGGGCGCAGTGGCTCATGCCTGTAATCCCAGCACTCTGGGAGGCTGGGGCAGGTGGATTGCTTGAGCTCAGGAGTACAAGACCAGCCTGGGCAACATGGCGAAACCCTGTCTCTCACAAAAACAGGAAAATGAGCCAGGCATGGTGGCACGTGTCTGTGTTCCCAGATACTCAGGAGTACTCCTCATACTCCACCCCTAAAGCCTGAGGTGGGAGGATCACTGGAGTCCAGGAAGTTGAGGCTGCAGTGAGCTGAGATGACATCACTGCATGCCAACCTGGGTGACAGAGTGAGACCCTCAAAAAAAAAAAAGAAGAGAAATGTAACAGTAAAAGGAGTTTTACAGAAAATGTAACCCAATGGAACATACACCTTTTTACTACCTTACTCAAAATTCTTACAGCCACTTTATTAGAAGAGCAGTTTATCAGAATACTGATTAAAAATCCACAAAAAAACTATAAAATTAAAGCAAGCAATAAACATCTAATTAACATCTAATTACCTTCCTGAAATAAGAGTTTTGATCAGTAAGTTAGAGACAATCATAAAATAATGCTAAGCCACTTTAAATTTCCCTTTAGAAATCTCTTTTAAAATGTTGTTCAACAGGCCATGATCTGTGGTATAAGATACCAGGTATGGCTATAAAGTAACTGAGACGGATCCCACAAACAACATATGACAATCAGTCTCATTGCTTTATAAGCACACCAGGTACAAATGGTTTTAGAAATCAGTTGAGGCTCCCTCTTGAAGACTCAAGCTGGAAAAGGAGTAGGGAAAGCTGAACAGGTAGCCAAGGAAACCAATCCATGTAATTCTATTCAAAGAACACTAAATAAGAACACCAACTAATTTCAACAGGGAAGCTGTTTGGGAAAAGAAGTGTGTAATTATTTCAACCATCCATTCAACAATATTTATTGAACACATACTATGATAAGGCTCCTTTCACCTCTTAAAGACAGTAGAGAATTACCTGCTCTTGATGCAAAAATCCACGTGCCTTCAGGAGCAAAGGGGAACCTTTCGGACTAGGGAGAGAAGCTGCTCGCAGTGGCGTCCTTACAACAGCACAGACAAGAGCCGGGCAGAGGAGCCCGACCCTGCCGACCAGGCAGGAGGACAGCAGAGAAGCCAGCAGAACGAAAGTCCACCACCGACACTTGCAAAGGACTGGAGTGTTAGCCATTTTAGGTCTTAAATCTCTTACAGAATCTGGTGAAAGTTATATAGGAGTCCCCTCCTAGGAGAAAGGGCCTTCTCCCCAAACTCCACCCCTAAAGCCTGATAGGGTTCAAAGACCCTGACCTAAAGCTGCCTCAGACACTTGACTTTTAAAGATCTGAGGAGCTCTGGCCCAGCTTCAGGAGGGATACACACGCGGAAGGAAATGTAGGCATCAGAATAAAGGCCCAGTCAGAGCAGGCAGTGACTGATAAGAGTTAAGAATAATTAGACCGTAGTGTTGTGGCCCACACCTGTAATCCCAGCACCTTGGGAGGCCGAGGCGGGCGGATCACGAGGTCAGGAGATCGAGACCATCCTGGCTAACACAGTGAAACCCCTTCTCTACTAAAAATAGAAAAAAATTAGCTGGGCGCGGTGGTGGGTGCCTGTGGTCCCAGCTACTCAGGAGGCTGAGGCAGGAGAATGGCGTGAACCTGGGAGGCAGACCTTGCAGTGAGCCGAGATCACGCCACTGCAGTCCAGCCTGGGCGACAGAGTGAGACTCCGTTTAAAAAAAAAAATCTTTGAGGGTCCAGAAGGACTGCTGCTGAGGGAAGAGTTAGGTGTATTCAGGGTCAAGCTGGGCATGGGGCAGAGCCCTGGCTGCCTGTGTCTCTGTGGGTCCTGCTGGCTCCTGCTCCCAGGAGTTCTCATCTCACTCCACTGACTTAATGAAAGTCCTTCTCAAACGTTTATCCACAATACCTTCAGTGCTTCATACCCAGTCCTCATTTTTCTCTTCACTGATCCCTTAAAGAACTCAAGGGGGAAAAACAGACACATTCTACATTCTTTTATGAAATGAATATAGCAATAATTCTGACAGATGGAGGTTATATCAATTATAGATTTCCTGCTAGACTTGTCAGTTTTCCTAAAATATAGATTTGCTCTGTCACTCTGCTTTGAAAAGCCTTTGATGTATCCCTTCTGTCAAACAAATAAAGTCCAAACTCTTTCACTGGACACTCAAGCACTGGGGAGCCAAACAGCCCTGAGGGTAAGTGAGACACGGGACGGTGAACCTCTCTGACCCAGTGAAACTGTTGGGCAAAGTGACTGGAATAGTGGTTCATGCAGTCTAGGCAGGACGGAGACGTGAAGCCAGGAGGGAAACTGAGAGAAAACTAAGAAAGGGTCCGGAAACTGGAAGCTTCAATAAAACTGAATGACAGTTTTACTGAAGACAGGGGGAGAAAGGGAAGAGGCACTGGTCAGGGCACAGGACACAGAAGTCTGCAACTCGAGCTGTAACAATCCTGGGAGATGATGAGGCCCAGGGAGCAGCTATGGGACCAGGCTCCTGGAGAAGTAGAATGGCTGAAGGGTCTGTGGAAGGAATCTCTGGTTAGGTGTTCACTTTCCAGGTGGATTCTGAAGCTGCCCAGGATGGTGGCAGGACCTCTGATGAACAGGGAGCAGTGACAGGAGGGGAAGCACATGACTATGGAGAGGAGGAACACGGTCTGCTGCACAAAACTGAAACTGAAGTCTCCCCACGTGGAAGTGACTGGTTTGGATGTGCTGTACACCACCACCACAGTAGCCCTCAGCGCCCACAGATGCACAGCAATGACCAACCTGTAATTTTGCTAATGCTTGAACCTGAGCCTCCTGCCATGCGGCTGTTGGGAAGCCAAATGTGTAAGCTACTGAGTGGTAGTCACTCACTGACAATTCCTGAGGACACTGGGCTACAGTCTGTTGCCAAAAGCCAAGGGTCTTTTATTCTTTCTTCCTTGAGCAGGAAGTTCTTCAATCACATACAAGTAGGGCCAAGGGGCCACTGTACAGCACCCGGATGTCAGCTTTTCTTCTTATGCTATCTCTTGACTGTATGTCAAGAGAAACAAAAGGGGGCAGGAGCAAGGCCCTGCCCAGAACAGAAAGCTTTCTTCCTTCACACAGAGGCAGAATGTGGGTGGGCACTGAAGACAAGCCACCAATCGGTGGAGAGCCACAGACTCTCAGTTAAGAGTTCCCAGGGGCTGCCAACTTTCAACACAGTACAGGAACTCCTATAAATTACTGATCCCTCTCAGCTGAGCGGTTCTATCCGCAGACACCTGGATTTAAGTGTTAGACAAGTCTTCTTTCCTTAAAATCTAAATTTCTTTTTTTGAGATGGAGTCTCAGTCTGTGGCCAGGCTGGAGTGCAGTGGCGCAATCTCAACTCACTGCAATCTCTGCCTCCCAGGTTCAAGCGATTCTCCTGCCTCAGCCTCCCGAGTAGCTGGGATGACAGGTGCACACCACCACACCCGGCTAATTTTTTTGTATTTTTAGTAGAGACGGGGTTTCACCACGTTGGCCAGGATGGTCTCGATCACCTGACAGGATGGTCTTGATCACCTGACCTTGTGATCCGCCCACCTC